CAAATAAGCAAGGGAGAATTTGATGCAAGTGTTATCTAAGTTCTTTTCCCCCATCTCTTAAGGCATATTGTCCCAATATGTAAAATTAAAACATAAGAGAATGAACAAAGGTACTACCCATGTTTAGTGACGGTTTCGGCCTCAATCTTGGCTTGATCAAAGCATTCAAGTACCTAAAACAATTCAAATAAAAATAAATGAATATGAAACAAATTTAATAAAATTGAAAATAATTTCAAATCAAATAAACAAAAATAAATAGAATAAAATAAAATAGAATGAGTTGCCTCCCATTAAGCGCTTTATTTAACGTCGTTAGCTTGACGACCTAATTCATGCTACATGTTCCGAGAAAGATGCTTCCTCCACTTCATAAGATTTTTCCATCGAAGAATTTTTCACAAGAAATTCTTCGATCATAAAGTTCCTTTATTTTGTCTTTGTAGATTTGAACATTTTCACAAGCTTTTCTTTGGATCTTTTTTAGCTTTAAAAGTTTATCTAAAATAGATAAATTATTTCCTTCACCTAAAAATGTGTTTTTCAAATGTTTCGGAAGCGATTTTAATTCCAACTTTAATGCCTGCAAAATAGATGGAAAAATTTATATTGAGAAAAAATCAAATTTAAATTCTTACCTAGATTTTCGTATGATGACTGCGAAGTCCACGTTAGAAACGATATCAGTTTCAACCATCAAATTCTTATACAACTCATCAAAAAAATTAAGATCCATATGTTCATTATCAGAAAGTTTAATTATATCGACAAAGCTAACGTTAACCACATAGTTAGGATGTTTCATCGCCTTATAAACATCAAATTTCACCACTTCATTGTTAAATTCCATGGTAAGAGTTCTGATTCCAACGTCGATTTTAGTGTGAACCACGCTTAGGAATAAGTGGCCAAGAAGGATCTTAGAAGAAGAATTTGTTCGATCATTTTCCATATTGATGACGTAGAAATCAGTCGAAAAAAATTAACTCATTTACCTTCACAAGAACACTTTCAGGAAGCCCCTTAGGATAAATGATGGTTCTATCAATGAGCTGAAGAGTCACTCTTATTGATCACACATTGCCTGTTTAATTGATATTTTACCAATTTTACAATGTATAACAAACTTACTTTGGTCTTTTAATTTTGCTGGAAGCCTATGTTCAAAAACAACTGAGACGTGTTCACCTAAATTTACCTTTTCATTGCTTGTAAGTCTCCTTTTGTTCGTGCAAAGATCTTTCCAGAAATCTAGCGTATCTTGGCACTTTTTGGATTACTTCAAGAAGTGGTATATTAATTTCCACTTTTCAGGAAACATAATTTTCCTCGGCTTGTTTATCACATTTTACTAACCTGGAGGGAAAGAGAGGTGGCGTGGCATAGGGAGATAGCATGGGAAGAAGTTGTGGCATCTTTTATTTTCCTCTAGGATTTCGCGTCAACTTCTTCCTTTTCCTCTACAATAATAATGCCACTTCGAAGGGTGATGGCTATTGTTTTCTCGTGGGTTCGCCTTGATTTGAAATGGTAATTTTCCCAGTGATTCCATTTGTCCCACTGTCTGAGCTAGTTGACTTGTTTGCTTTTAAGCTCTTAAAAGAGAGCTTCAGTTCTATTTTGAAATTGTTCTTTAGGCAGTGCTAACCGTTCGAAGATGGACTCCAATGATGATTCCGACAGTTGATATTGTTGAGGTGGAGGTGGCCTTGGTTGATACATTTGGTTGGCCTCGGGTTTGTGCATAACTGAAGTTCAGATGGTCTCTCCTCCTTGGATTATATGTATTTGCGTTAGGATTGTATTGTCCCTGGAAAGTTCCCGAAAAATTTCCAACTGCGTTAACTTGTGCAAGATAGAGTCTTCTTATAACATCGGACAACAATCCGTGGGAAGGTTTGGCATTGTGCATATTCCGAAGAGTCTAATTGTAGTCGTTTTTTCTGCAATAAGAGTTTGAAAAATATCAGCTAATTTATCAAGCTTATTTTCTAAAGAAATTGCACTTATCTCGTGAACCCGTCGAGTGAGTTCACTCGTAGAGCCAAATTGTTGAAAGTTAGCAGTCATAGTTGAAATCAGATTTTTGGCTACTTGTGGAGTCATATTAAAGAGTTCTCCTTTGCTAGCTATGTTAATCATTTTCATCTTCAAAGTAAGTAATCCTTTGTAAAAGTATTGAAGAGGTGTTTGTTATGACAGTCCATGTTGTGGGTAGCTAGCGCATAGTTTTTTATATCGTTCTCAGTAATCAAATATTGATTCTTCATTATTTGTTGTACTCCTAAGATTTTTCTTCTTAATTCACTCTCTTTCGCTGCAAAGAAGAACCTATCAAGAAAAAGACAAGTCATATCAGTCCATGTTTTAACAGAATTATGAGGTAAATAAAATAAGCAATCTTTAGTTGAGTCAGCTAAAGAAAAAAAAGAAAGCATGGAGTTCAATTTGATCATCAGATACTCCATGCGGTTTCATGCTAGAGTAAACCACATGAAACTCTGTACGATGCTTGTGAGGACTTTCGTTGGGCAGTCTATGGTATGCAAGTAGAAGATGGATCAAACCGTTTTCAGCTCAACCGTGTTTATCCATGAGGGATGTGATGCATAACAATTGTTGTTCGGCAGGTGCCACAACTAATTCTTGGATTGTCTGTTGATCTATTGGAATTGGTTTCTCGAAGTCTTCTTTGGCGTCAGAGAAGTTTTTGACGTCCAAAGGTGTCTTCGGATTAAGTTCTGGATTGAATTCGGATTGTTGTGATTGCTGTTATTGTTGTCGTCTTTCTTGTAGTGTGCGTGAGTGTATTCTTCAGGCTAGTAATTCGATCTCAGCTACCTGAAATGCTAGTTCACCTGGATTTTTCCTGGTCATAAAACGAAACATAATCAGTAATTTTGCTATGATCCCCGACAACGACACCAATTTGACAAGCATCGTAATTGTCAAATAATTATTCTAAGAACGTAGTATAGAGAAGAATGTGTCGGTCCACAGGGATTCGAAAATTTCTAATATCAATATGAATTGATATTTAACCAAGAAATTTGTAAAATAAGAAATAAAAAAGATGGGGGTTTCATATAATAAAGTAAACTAAATAAATAGGATAAAATTAAAACAAAAAATAATAATAATAAGAAAATAGAAGAAGTAAATTGTAAAGAAATAATAAAAATGAGAGATAATCTCTAGCTTTGCTTCGCCTTAATCCGTCTTGGTCACTGAAATAGATTTTACTTCGGATACTTGCCCGTTACAGTTTACAAGGCCCAACCTTGTAACTTACTCCTCTCAGGTGAACTGATTTCCAAAGCCAATCATTGAAAATTAGCCCTTTTTGGATTAATATCCGCCATACAACCGAACACCCGCATGAAACATGTAACAAAAAAAACCACAAAAAATTGTCAAAAGACATAGAAAAACTGTCAAAAGAAAAAGATTTGATAAATAATTTATGTGTTTGAATACTCTTAAGTTGAGTTTAAAGGATTACAATTAAGATAATAATTTATTTTCTAGGTTATTTTGTTGATTAATGATCGTCAAAATCTGATCGTAATATCTAGATTGATTTCACGGGTTACATACAAAGTCATTTCTTAAACTTAACTTTTAATTACTCATGACTGAACAAAAATCTATCATATATCATGAAAAATGTTAAATGATGGAGATCTTAACCACTACAATATTATTGAAAATCTCTTTACTTATCTTTTATTTATTCACACACTCTTAGACTATACATTTTTTTATTAAGTAGCATATGTTAATACTCTCAACTATTTGACAATAAATGTCCAATCACTCTGCTGCAGCCGTTAGTGCTCGAATCTATAACCTCCAGAAATAACAATTCCTTTAACCACTAAGGTAACTTAATTTGTGCCTTAGTCTATACATTAAGAAGTAAAACTTAGTGCTAGTATGTTTTTAGATTTATTTCAAATATAAAAATTTATTAGACATCGGATCACGTGGCGCATGTTAAATGGAATAATAAAAGTGAGAGCAAACATAAAAAGTTAAACACGTTCCCACGCTGAAAAAACACCTTCCCTCTTCCACACTACATTGCTATTCATCCTGTTCAAATAAAGTAACAAACCGTGCAAAACAGTGTTTTGCAAACCGGATCGGACCGGTCGGATCAACCGGGAACCGTTATCTAGTCCGATTCAATCTACACCGGTTGAACCGCTACTAGTGAACCGGTCGGAACCGTTGAATCGTTCGAACCGTACCGGCTGAAAATCGGAAAAAACAAAAAAAATCACCAATTTTGTTTTTTTTTAAAATTAAATCAAACGACGTCGTTTGTTAAATGAGCCGAGTCGAACTCGAGTATTGCTGAGCTCGACTCGAACTTGAAAACTTTAAAAGTAAGCTCAATTCGACTCAATCTCACGAGCTAAAAATTATCAAGTTCAACTCGAACTCGAAATATAATATTGAAACTTGAACTCGAAAAGGCTTGAACTCAAAAAAAAATTAGAAGCTTGATTGAAGCCTAAAATTCGAGCTTGATTGAAGTGAAAGAATAGTTCACTCAATGCTCAACAAAAGACTCCATGATTTTGAATGCCAAATTACCTCTATTATTTATAAAAGTTAGTTGATGCTCTTCTATGTTTCTTCGTCATGCAAGATTGTTTTTAAAAAAAAAATTAAACCAAACAATATCTTTTTGTTATGATTTTTTTAGCCCCAAATTTATTTTTTAATTATAGTTATATAATTATATTTATTTTTTAATATGTTTTACCTTAAATATTATGTTGTAGTTAATTTGAATCATTTTGTTTCACTTGATTTTATGGTTTTTAACTTGTATATGTTATGATTTGCATTGAATATGACTTGTGATATAAAAAATATTTTTTATTAACATTGGAACCGATAGCATGATCGATTCGCTAATCGATCCAATTCTAAAAACCATGGAACAAACAAATGAGGGCTTTCTTGTAGTAATAAAGAAAATAAAAAAGCGGTATATGCTAATCAAAGCTTTGGCATTGTTTGGGGAAAATGGCTAGGGATTTAATTTTCTGGGTTCTCTGTTTCTTCATCAACATTGCTCTTCTTGCTTCATCCTTTTATCAGGTATTAATAATCTTCTCCCTCTTTTATTTCTTTTCCCATATGCTTTAATTTTTGTTTTTGGAATAGTTGCTATCTTTATCATATCTTGAGGCTGACCATCTCAATCCTTTCGAAGCAACTCGGATTAATTCCATTGTTCCCCTGGAGTTCCTTCTGCAAGCATTTCTCTGCCTTTCTTTCCTGCTTACCTGTCATTGGTTCATGTTTCTCTTCACTCTTCCCATTACTGCTTATCATTTGATGTTTACTTATTTGCTAAATAAATAACACTTCTAAGTTCATTTACTTTATTGGTCGATTCCGATGAAAAGGTGTACAGATCGTTGATTTGTATTTTTTGATGGTTGACGCAACTTATGTAATCTATTGTTGATATACAAGAACAAGATTTGAATCTTGGTAGCATTTTTGTTTTAGATCTTAATTTAGATCCTTTCACTAAGGTATTTCCTACTTTCTAACGAGTTTGTATTATATTTAGAAAGTTGAGGATTCTATGAGATTCTTTCACCATTTCAGAGAGACATGTGTGCGGTTGGGTTAAAGGAAAGTCTTCAAGCAAGAAATCTTGGAAGTGTTATTTTTAAAATGGTAATTTTAGACAATTCTTGCATCACGATCCTTATACGTGATTCAAAAAATAAGTTGACAATTACTATAGTTATCCCTTGAACTACTTTTTGTAGTTGATTCGCCACTGCTTGATGTTTGACTGATAATTGAATGTTTCAAGTACTTGAACCGAAAACATCTTCTTGATGTCATTGAGATTTTCAGAGATCTTAATACTGAGAAGCAATATCGTTTAGTCAAGCTGGCTGTTTACTTGTTGCTCTTCATTGTTGTTTTTAGGTTATTTCTGAACTTAACCAATTCTTTGTTTTTGATTCATTCTAAAATTTAACATTATTATTTTTGGACCGCCTTGTACTTATCCCATGATTTTATATTTCTAATTAAGCTTTCCCTCTTTGTTGGGTGTAGACTTCTTTCTTCTAGTATATTTTTTTCTTTGCTTGGAAGTTTAAAGAACTATACATTCTAACCTCTCTTTTCTACTAGTATTTTAGGAACCCTTTGGTTAGTCCTCTTGTCATAATTCAACACATGCATGTGCCATTTATCTGTTATAGAAGTAGATTGTTGTCTTTACTGCTTATGTTCGTGTTGGTATCGCATGCATGAATAACATGGCAAGTTTACCATTTGCATCACGCGAAATAGCTGCCAATGCGTCCAAAATTTAATATTAACTTGCTCGTCAGATTTTTGATGTGATTTATTTCTCATAAGACTTCTGATGGTTTAAGATGTCAGAGATTAGATTCCAGGAGATTGAGTAGGATTTTTAGATATTTTTTTATTAGTTAGGATCATTAACTCTAAGGGATTGTTTTTATTACTAGAATTAGTCTCTTTACTACTTTAGAAGTTTCCAAAGATAAGATATAGGCTTGTATATTTAATTGTAAGTTTCCTACAAGTTCAATACAAGTGAATTGTAGTAAAATTGATGTTTTTGACATGGTATCAGAGACTCTCGTTTTCAGGTCTTAATTTTCTTGTTAAGCAGCCTCTCTTAATTACTATCCTTCCTTAAGAGAGTAAGGTACCTTTTCAACAAAGATGGGTGATGTGGGTGATTACGGTAGTACTGAAACTTCTCGAAGAGGCACAGTGAGTGAGGGAAGTCACTCTAATCCAATGAGTGACATACAAAATATACAAGTCGCCTATAGATTGAATTATAAGAATTACCTTAAGTGATCCCAATTGGTTCGAACTTTCTTAAAAGAAAGAGGTAAACTTAGTCATCTCCTCGGAATGGGTCCCGACGAAGTAGATCCTAGATTTGAGGCTTCGGATGAACAAGACTCGTTAGTTATGTCTTGGTTGTGGAATTCAATGGTTCCTGAAATTAGTGATACCTGCATGTTTCTTAGGATAGCCCAATAGATATAAGAGGCTGTAAAACAAACAGATTCAAAGGTTCGAGATGCTGCCCAGATTTATGAATTAAGAGCAAGATTTCAGCCACCAAACAATGAAGCAAATCAATTACAAAGTATTCTAATATATTGCAGAATCTTTAGCAGTAAATGGACCACTATCAATGCATTTAGATGAGATACAATTAAGATGCAACAATCCTAAAGAGATTTATCGAAAAAGATAAGATTAATGATTTTCTTGTTGGACTAAATACAAAATTTGATGTAGTAAGAGTCTAGATCCTAGGAAAAGAAGATTTTCCCTCACTGAATGAAACTATTGCTATCATTCGTGTTGAAGAAGGAAAAATATGAGTGATGATGGTTGAAAACAATCAAGCAGAGAGTTCAACCTTGGTTACTAGGGCTTCTCTTGATGACCAACACGTTTGGAACAACAAAATATTAAAGGTAGACCATAAACAAGAAAGATAGTGAACAGGACTATGTTTTGAAATTGAAGGGCTCTTGTTATGGCAAGAAGATGGCCATTTTTTCTTTCTGCTACTTCATTCTGTTGGGGAGTATTTACACAAGAGGACTCTGTTGTTTAATTCAAATACTGGATAGGCAGTTTGCATATTGAAGAAGCCTCTATACAGACTAAAACAGTCCCCATGAATGATAATATATATTGTGTTAACTTCAAATTCTCCAACCTCTTATCAAAATTTGGTTGGTGTAGTTCATATATTATTTCATAATATATATTGTGTTAACATAAAGCAAAAACAAATGTTGAAAATAAAACTTACCCATACTAATTATCTCACTACGAATGTGACCTTTATGAAACTTTTCGATGCAGTTCGTACCAATATGGCGAATATAATATGAAGGATATGCGTTTGAAGGTGTCCATCGACTTCTTGGTCATTCAACTGCCGCCAAAAAGCCATGTTCCTCGATCAGATATCAAGCACACTCCATTTTCTCGAACAACATACTTGCATAGATTGGTAAAAAAGAAATCTCAAGCCTCTGTTGTCTCTCCTTCAACAATGACGAATGTTATTGGAAAGCTATTTCGTTAATCATCTTGTGTAACTGCTATCAGTAAGTTATGCTTATATTACCTGTACAACCACGTACCATCTACTTGGACTAGACATTTGCAAAATGAAAATCCTTTAATGCATGGCTTGAATTCCCAAAAGAGTATATGGAATATTCTATTCCCTTGAAGAAGCTAACCTTCTAGGTTGCATGTAGGCATGGTTTGAGATTTCCTTATGGTTCTTGGAATGAACCGTTTTATAGCTTGTAACAAATCCAGTAGCTCATTGTATGATGTATGCCAATTGTCATATATCAACCTCTTTGCCTTCTCCTTCATATACCAAACCAGTTTATATTTTATATTGTATCTGAACTGGTCTCGAATAGATGCAACTAAAATTGAACAAGTGATCCTAGGGTTTTGTTCAACCAACACCTTCACATATTGGCATATTAAATCGGAATCTAATAGTCGGTGGTCTTGTTCAACGGAGCTCCATAAACATGTATGAGGGTAATTGTACCTTGTGATGACCCAAGCATCTTGCCTAGAAATTTTGGACACTCCGATTAGCCACTTACACTCGGGATCATATTTAACACACTTCGCATACAAAGTTTTCTGGTTGGACTCTGTAACCTTGTAATCTACATGGCCTTTTATACAATACTCTTTAATCGCTAATGTAGCTTTATTTTTTCCTCTAAATTGCTTCCCAACAGATAATTCACCCTAGTTTTTGGATGATTCAATTACGTAGCCTGAAGTCAAATGTGGCATCTGTAGGAATTCAGGTGTCGTCATCGCAACATAATCTATCTCGCAAATATGAGGAGAAGGTTGACACGAGGTCGAATGTTCATAATTCGCTAAATCAGTTTCACCACCATAAAAAATAGTGTCATCGTTAACCAAATCAGGTTCTTTAGTTTCTTCATCATTGATGTAATCATCATGTGTTTCTCCTCAATTATTTTCAACATCAATTTCAACAGTCGATTCTGGAAGATGTATGCTTCTTGCCTCATACTTTGCTGCTGTTGATGTCCTATCGATTGCATTCGTTATTTCCAACATCGCCATAAAATTGTTGATCGACCTATATGTCGGGTCCTCAAACTTACTTCTAAAAGTCATTTGAGATGAATTTCCAACCACATTTCTTGACGACCCATGAACATCAAATATCTTATGCACCTAAACAAATAACTCAATAACATAAATATTTATTAAGCCATGTACTTGAATCATGGTTCTAATATCATCTTATTCTTCAAGTAGAATTGCAGCATACGTGATTGGATTAGGACATATCATAAACTTGTACCTCTACTCATTAATTGTAGCTTGTATTTTTCTTTATATCTTCTCCTTCATTTATATAAATGTGATGTATCTTTTAAACATCCTATTTATAGGTCTTTCAAATTGAAAAACAATATCAAACTCATTCTCTATAATCTGTCCATTATAATGGACAGTCCCGAAGAATTTTTTGCTCATTTTTCCCTATATATATATATATAAAAAAATAAAATATTCTAACAATAGTTAATAAGGCAAAATGATATAATTGTTTTATCATTTTAATCTAAATACTAAATCAATACCAACTGTTTTATCACAAGTCAAATAAAAACTAAAAACAAAAAACATTACAAAACTGATATACACATTTAAAAGAACAATATGATGTAAAATATTACTCAACAATATCATTTAACAAAAAAATATCTAGAAATGAACTCAACAATATCATTTAACAGAATAATATGAGGTGAAATATTACACATTTATAAATTATTCAACAATACCATCTAACTATTTAAATGTATTTAATCAGGCCACTAGCTGTTAACAGTTAACGGAAGTGGTGACATGACAGTTAGTAAAATTAGTATAATTCTACATTTGGTCCCTATTACTTATATATTTATTGATTTAGTCCTAATTTTAATTTAATTTAAAAAATCCACTTTCTAATCAAGAAGTGCCACGCGTAACTACTTGATTGGAGACTTTTTTAATTTATTTTAACATTTTAATTAAATAATCATTCACCAATCAGGTGGTGACACGTGGTAGCACATGATTAAATGGAACGTAACATGCCAACAAAAGGATTTGAAACCAAGAGCATTAGGCAATTCAAGGCACGCCTTAACCATTGAGGTAAACCACACTTTGAATGTTTGATTGCAAAAGGTTTTATATATTATCTTTTATATTATGACAAATAAATAAATAAAAAGGCATGAAAATAAGGCGAACTTGAGGATTTTAACTTAAATGGGTGCACCTTAACCATCGGAACAAATAAAACTTCTGAAAAATACTTACATTATTAGTTTATATATCATTAAATATCTTTTATTAGCGGGAAAAAATTAAAGTTATAATCATTTAAAAATAATTATGAGAATATAAAAAATTATTAAAATTAGATTCACCAAATTTATTTCTGATTTTATATATTTTTAAAATTAAAATTTTAATATTTGTAAAATTAAATTGTTTTTATTTAAAAAATATATTAAAATTTTTAACTCAAAGTTACTAGCACAAAAAAACTTATAATTCAAATATTAAATTCTCGTTTCAAAAGATTTTAAAATTATATCTCATTTTATTTAAAATTATAATCATTTAATATAATATAAAACATAATTTAATTTACAAATATAGAAATCTTAAATACATTTACTTTAAATATATGCCATTAACATATTTTTTTTTGAAAAACAATTAATAGATTTTTTCTTTCAAATATGTAATTTGAATTTGCGTCAATTTTTTTTTTCATTTTTCGTATTGTTTTTTTGTGCAATAATCTAAACCGCAATATATAAAAATATTTTGAGATCACATAACAAATGTAGGCTTTACACTAGTGGTTGAGGAATTGTTAGAGATGCCATAGGTATTGGTTAATTCCCCAAAATGCCATTTTTCAATTTGGATTTATTTTCCATGTAACACTTCTTGATTAGAGAGTGAGTTTTTTAAATTAAATTAAAATTATGACTAAATTGACATAATATATGCCATTATTGTTAACACGTGACACTTTCTGATTAGAGAGTGAGTTTTTTTTAAATTAAATTAAAATTAGGACTAAATCGATAGAATATATAAGTAATAGGGACCAAATGTAAAATTATACTAATTTTACTAACTGCCACGTTATCATTCCCGTTAACTATTAACGACTAGTGACCTGATTAAAT